ACTTGGAGAGAAGGATGACACATCACGCCACGTATGGTACGTAGGAAATTAAGAAAATTTATAATGCCACGTCATTATCTAACCTGACCACGTCAGCTTTTTTATCCAGGTTGAGTAATTAATGTATCGTTTTCGACCAGATTGTCAACTAAATGTTTCTTTTCCATAAGGAACAACAAAATGTCTCTTTTGTTGACAACGCCTAACTTGGTGTATTATTTTTAAAATTTTGCTGGTGAATGCTTAACAAAATACATGAATCATATTAATGTCAATAAAAATTAAGCATTATTAATGGTGAATGCTTAACAAAATACACTCTGACTTACCAAGATACTCGAGTACACAATATGAGTAATTCACGCTATAAATCTCATATTCAAAATATGTGTCATTATATTGTTCTCTCATAGTTCAAGAAGACTGAAATCTACATTAATATTCCACAATTTTTGTGTATACCAAGTTTTTCGGATACGTTGATTAATTTTTTTATTTTGTCCCTAATAGGTATTTTACATGGTTTTTATAATACATGTACATAAACTTTTGTTTCGAAACATGATTGTTGCGATGAAAATATGTTATCCACATTTAATGGTAGTATTGTGTAACTAAGTTTTTTTGGAGATGTTGATTGATGATTCTATTTTGATCTTTACTTACTATTCTCCATGGGTTTTAATTTTAATACACAAACTTTTGTTTCAAAACTTGATTTTTGCGATGAAAATATGTTATCTATGTCGAATGTTGGTGTTGTGTTCGAAATCAAGTTTTTCAAAGACGTTGAGTAATTTTTCTATTTTGGTCTCTAATTACTATCTTCCATGGGTTTTTTCAATACATAAATTTTTGTGTCGAAACATTATCATTGCGATGAAAATATGTTTTCCACATTGAATGTTAGAGTTTTGTTGAAAACCAAGTTTTCGGAGACATTGATTTATTTTTCTATTTTCGTCACTAATTACTATTTTACATGGGTTTTTAATACTTAATCTTTTGTTTCAAAACATGATTTTTGCGATAAAATAATATGTTATCCACTTCAAATGTTGGTGTTGTGTTCAAAACCAAATTTTTTTGGAGACGTTGATTAATTTTTCTATTTTGGTGTCTATTTACTATTTTCCATAGTTTTTTACTTTTTTTATACTTAAACTTTTGTTTCAAAACATGATTTTTGCAATGAAAATATGTTATCCACATCAAATGTTGGTGTTGTGTTTGAAACCAAGTTTTTTCAGAGGCGCTGATTAATTTTTCTATTTTGGTTTCCAATTACTCTTTTACATGGCTTTTTTTTAATGCATAAACTTTTAGTTCAAGACGTGATTTTTGGATGAAAATACTATATCCACATCAAATATTGGTGTTGTATTCAAACCAAGTTTTTTCAAAGACTTTGATTAATTTCTTTGTCTCTAATTACAATCTTTAATGTCTTTTTTCAACACTTAAACTTTTGTTTCGAAACATGATTTTTGCAATGAAAATATGTTATCCACATCAAATGTTGGTGTTGTGCTTGACCCCATCGCAACCATCATGGAAAGCACTTATCCAATGGTTAGATATTGCATTGATGACCCCATCTATTTGAAAGATAGGGCTATATAAGATCCAACATTAGATGTTGTTGACTCCATCAATGAATATATGTCATCTTTGAATCAATCGGAGGATAATACTTATTTAAGTTCTGATACAACATGCAAATCCGATGGTGGTGTTGATTTCTTCCATGACCTGCACACGCTGGAGTTCTTAAATAGTATAAAATGTTCTGGTGTTGTAAATCATGAATTGCACTTAAATGTTGAGTCTCTTGTCATGTTTTTGAGAAACATTGATCGTTCGATTCGACTGTGTAATGGAACACGCTTGGTGATAACGAAGCTTTCCACCTACGTGTTCCAATGTAAGATTCTAATATGATCAAATGCTAGACATAAGGTATTGGTACCAAGAATTTCCCTAACTCCATCTGATCTCAGGATACCCTTCAAGTTCCAACGAAGAAAATTTACTCTTATGTTTTCTTACGTAATGACAATCAACAAGAGTCAAGAGCAGTCATTATCTCATGTCGAACTTTACTTGAAAAGACCCGTGTTCAGTCATGGTCAATTATACGTTGATGTGTCTCGAGTCACTAATCCACATGGATTGAAGATATTAATATGTGGGGACGATAATGGGGAAAAGAAAACTAATAAGTTTTCCACAATTTGTAATACCCTACAATATTGTACTTTACTATCTATTCAATAATAATGTTTTTTATTTGTCATTTACTTTTTATTATATATATATATATTAATGTATTTATTAAATATATTTTAATAAATATGTTCCGTGCATCGCAAGGGTGAAGATACTAGTACACTATAATTTGTCAGAGGTCTTATGTTAGAGGTCAAGTAAAAAATTGTAGCTTTAATGCATAATTATGATGGTTAGATTCGTAGTACTTGTTTTGTCTTCATTTTTTTCCCATTTGGAACTAATAGATTCATTAAAACAAATTTTTATTTTTTAAATACAATGATTAGCTTGTGTTAGATGCTTGGGCGACTTAAAAAACCTATATTAATGTGTAATAATAATATTCATAATTCCATATGTTATTGAACTTTATATGGAATATCATAAACTAGTTAATATATCGTAGATGTTAAATGAACAAGTACAATAATCAATACATGTGAGTTCATGTGTAATTGGCATATATTTTTCTTTTATAAATTTAATAGTGTGTATCTCGTGCTATACACATATGACCTTTTTACTTAAGACCTTTTCTAAAATTTTATATTAAATATTATTATTTTTATTTTATGTTTAGCATCTCATTATTGTAAGAAAAGAAAATACAATATATGAAAAATCATATATTATTTATTTGAATATAATGAGTGTCCCCAACCAAACAAATAACATCCAACACATGATATATGATAAAATTAATTATATGATTGTCATGCTTATATATATATATAATATTATAGGGAAAAAATCTTTTTCACCCCAATACAAAGACACATTAAGTTTTTCACACAGCCCAATAAAAAGCTAAATTTTTTACCCTGAAAAGAGTGAAGGTTATGCGAAAACTGTCGCATATCCATCGCAGAACTGTCGCATATGCGAAGTTTATGCGAAAAACTGTCGCATAACTACTGTCGCATATTCATCGCACAATGCCTTCGCACTTTAACTTTTTTTCATCCGAGAAAGTGCGAAGGGATCGGATATGCGAATGTCTTCGCACTTTTAACTTTCGCACAATGTCGTCGCGCAATTGTCGCATATTCATCGCACAATGCCTTTCGCACTTTCTGGGGTGAAAAACTTAGCTTTTTATTGGGCGGTGTAAAAACTTAACAAGATTTCAAAACGGGGGAAAATAACTATTTTTCACTAATAAATATGAGATATTCAAGATTTGCCTTAAAAATTGTAATTTGGAAATGAGATGAAAAATGGATATGTAAAA